CAAGGAAATACAGCCTATCAGTTACAAATAACATTATATATATTCCCTTTGATTTTACTGTCGAATTTGTGGCCAGAAATATACTCATTTTATTAACAATTCAATTAAAGTTCAAAGTGAAATCTTACCTCAGTGCCTGTGATTAATAAACTTTACTGAAATTAGGAATTAGTATTTTGTAGATTAAACGCCCAAAATTGCAGCCAGTGTTGAAATGTTTTAAAAATATATAGTGGACAAGGAGTAAATGAGAGCGAATTTAATATATATAATATAGAGATCAGAGATATATATATATATATATATATATATATATATATATTATATTTATTTATTTATTTATTTATTTATATATAAACACAATGTGTTCTTCATATGTATGTACGCATAAGTTATACCCTACAACAAGAGAGTTAGAAACTAAAGACGTCATCCATTTGTTTTAAATTATGTATTTAAGATTTTACCACATGTTTACGTAATTTTCCAAGAAAAATGAGTCTATAATTAATAGAATCTAGTAGCAAAGGATAAACACATACATATTGTTTTATCCTAATTCCTTCATTTGAATATCTAGAAAATGAGAACATTTGGGGGACTGGGGGTCCGAGTGCACGATGTGGTCGATGCCTTAAATTGTACGACTTCTAGTCAAACAACACAGATTTATTCGAAACCGGTCAAATACATCTCTTGTATTGTGTCAAACAACACATCCATACTACAATGAAGTGCTTTATCCTCCTAGCAGTTGCATTCATTGCAGTTACAACTGCACAACCAACGTCTTACAGGCAGGATGGTTCCTACAAGAGTGCAGCGTTGAACTTTGGTCACGATTTCGCCCTACCAAGGATTCCAGGCGTTCAGCTCCAAGTGTCTTCCGTTCCTCTGCCCATCCCTACGCTGCGCCAGGAGTTCTTCAGGGTTCCACTTCCTGCCCTTACATATCCGAAAAATATTGTACATGGATACTAAAGACACAGACTACGTAATGCGTATATGCCACCATATGGACGAAATAAAATTGAGATGAGATCTCGAATTAAACATTTCCATTTCCCTATTATAGTAGTGTTTTGGTTCCATTAAGCGGATATGGAAACAAGAAAAATATCATACAAAATTTCTGTTACAAATAGGAAGCCACATGTACTTCATTTTAAGACAAGTATGGATACAGAAAAGCTTAAAATAATATAAAAATTAATCTTCTCTCTCTCTCAGACACATATACACCAATAAAAGAGGGACAGACTAAACATAGAGTAATGATAATTACACTGCAAAACGAACAAAGAAGTGCAGTGTATCAACTTCAAATGGTGATACTGTAAATATTCAAGATAAGCTGTTAGATCCCTCCTTCGAGGCGATTCCCTAATTATTTTATTTTAAATTCGAATTTTGGGCCGAATATTAGGATTAACAACCCTGATACTTCAAAATCAAACAAGATTATCATAAAGTGTTGATCCCGACAGGTGAGAAGCCATCAGCGAAAAGACCTTACATCACAAGCTGAAATTTAAAATCTTAGCCTCAATGTTTGCGGTTCATAAAGCATTACTGTAAATAGGAATGCTTAGCAATTTGTAGACTAAACTCAAGCAAACTTCCTGCCAGTGTTAAAATAAAGAATAACTAGTGGACAGGGAAAAACGAGAGCGAATGTAATTAGTAGATCGATATATCTATATATCCATACATAAATATGTGTATATATACATATATATGTATATCATTATATATTCATATGTGTTACATAAATATATATATACATATATATATATATATATATATATATATTATATATATATATATATATATATATATATATATATATTATATTAATATGTATATGTATATGTATATGTATATATATATGTATGTTTACGTATGTGAATATATACATATTATATATATGTGTGTGTGTTTATATATATGTCTATGTATATATGTATCATGTATGTGTATTATATTATATGTACATATATGTATGCATGAATATGTGCACATATGTATATGTGTATATGTGCATTATATGTATATATGTATGTGTATACATTTATGCATATATATACATACATTTGTATGCATATGCATATGAGGATAGACATAGAGAAAGAGAAAGATATATAGAGAGTGTATATCCTGCCATTCATATATATATATATATATATATTTATATTATATATATTATTATATATATACATTAATATAACATGTGTTATACACACACACCATTAACAGTTCAAAGAACTCACCCATTTTGTTTGGAATATGTATTTCAGATTCACCTTACATGTTTGAGTAATTTGCCAAGAAAAATGTATCTATAATCAATAGAATTCAGTAAGACAAACTCATAACTGTTGTTTATCATCATTCTCTCACTTGAAATATCTCGAATATGAGAACAGCTAAGAATTGAGGGACTGGGAGTCCGAGTGCACACGGCACGATTTGGAAAATGCCATAAATTGTATGACTTTTG